CCAAAACTAAGCATTCTTACAAGTAGGTAAAAAAAGTTTAGGTCAACAGCATCACTTGAGATTTAAAATATGGTCTTATATTATATGTGTCAGCACTGCTGAAGTATTGACATAACCAGTCATAAAACCCCAGTATTCATAACTTTTAGTGAAAGTGGGTTCAAGTGAGAAGTATCATGGGTCTGGTTTACAGACAGGAAGGCTGAGAATGACTTACAGGAAGTCTCTGATTAAACCAGGTGCTAAACCTAGAGTCCCTGCCTAGTGGTTCAACCACAGTCCTATCCACCTTTCTTAAACATAACACTGTCCTCTCACTCATGACGGAGCAGAGAATCCACAGCTTCACCCCTGCGAGACCTTCCCCTTCCTGAAGAGAAGCTCTCCCCTGTGCTGCCATGCCCACTGTATTGGAGGGAGCCAGCACCCATCTGGGCAGCCCTTGCAGATCCTGGTCTGTTCTCCCTACACTGAAGTGATAAGGAACCTGGATCTACACCGCTGGCTTGTCACATACGTTAATCTGTCTCTTCAGGCCCTGGACCTACCTCAAAGCCCTTAAGCACACCTCTCAGATGAGAAAGCCCAGCAGGTACACTGTATGTTATACCGGCTGTCCTCAGCATGCAAGATGTGCACACTAATGAAGTTCCTGTGAAGTTTCCCATGTTTTCTATTCCTCTGTAAATGCCAGCTATAAGCCACCATAATAACTACAAACTTAAGAGTAATGGAGATACCAATTTAAATGCCTCAGCTTCACAGTGACTGGATTGATAAGATAATGAACGCTTGTATTTCTAAAGAAGCATTTTATGTTTTTATGTTTTTAATGCAATAATTATTTGGAATTTTTACTTTGCAACTGTTTCATGTTTTTGTCATGAAAGAAGATTTTGACTAGCGTTCATCTGATCATTACATGATCATGCAGCTCTGAGCATGTTTTTTAAATGGTTGTATTCCTTCAGCAAACACATGCTTTAACCACAACTCCCTCCTAGCAGGAAGAAGCAATGTGAGAGCAGAGAATAAAGAGTGAATGCTGTAGCAAGTAGCAACTGTTGTCTCAGCAGACTGATTAAGACCAATTAAACATATGTTATACAACAGCCATTCTAAAGTTACTGCAGGATAACAACAGGTCATTATGGAAAAAAATAAAATAACCCTCTCCAGCAAGACACAAAATTTCTATGCAATAACAGAGAACAAATAGCTTACAGTCTGTTATACTTACAGTCTTTTTAACAAGAAGAGTTAAGAACTAACCCCAGAGAAAATTAGCAGCACAACTCGTTCATCAAATATGCCTTCTTATATCCTAATCTACTTCAGATATTAACTTCCTGGCCACTTCTAACAGTATGCTTGGTTATGTACTGCCTTCTAAATTGATCTCTCTTCTTCTCAATTTATTCTACTGCTCATTAAATCCGTATCAGCAGTTTCTTCTAGCATGATTATAATATTGCTACGGTTATATTACTCTTGACACATACTCTTGCATGGGTATATCAGAACACCCACTTCTGATTGGCTAGTATATAACAAAAACATTCCAGCTGATAAGGCAGCATACTTTATTTTGTCCTCACAGCTACTAGGATCACTGTGTGCAGTAGATTAAGGGTATCTACTTCTGTATCAGTGTTACTCTAATATACTCATACAAAGCTAACTTTTATTTACTTTAAGATCAAGTCTAAAATAAGCACTGCCTGTATTCCTGCAAAACTGAAAAATTCATATTGTTAATACAATTTGAGGAGACCTGAATATTTATCTATCTCCCTAGTATGGCACTGGGAACACTCCCTAGCACTGAAAGGAATAGATGGCACCTATGATTAAGGTGTTAAATTAGGAGCTTGGAAATACTGGTTTTACAGGCTTCCCATATTACCTTTGCAAATCACTTCTCACTTGACTCCACCAGGTATGGTACAATACCCTCAGTTAAGAGTTTAGGACATTTGCAACACGGTTATTCCGTTTTCTTAAATGGACAATGGTTCTTAACATTTCCAAAACATCTCATTAAAATGATCTGGGGCTGAGCTTTTTAAAAGAGGATCATGAGAAAGTAGAAATGGGAGCATAGAAAGTTATATTACACGGACAGTACAGGACTTACTACTCACCACTTTCTCTCATAAGGCTTCAGAAGAGAGTAAAACTTCTGTGCCAGGCTCACGCTTGCTGAAAGAAGCAAGTATTTTATGTTGGGAAAGTACCCAAAGGCCTTACCCTTGAGATCAAAGCCTCACTGGATCTAGGCACTGTAAGCACATAATGAGAGACAATTCCTTCCTTGTTTATAATTAAACAGAACAAACAGACACAAGAAGAGTAAGGAAAGAAACAAAAGTATCTTATCCAAAGCCAAACAGTAGATTCAAAGGTGGAGTTGAAGGCAGAATTCAGACCTTATCAAAAGAATGAAGAGGCAAATATCTTCTGTGGATAGAGGGAAAGGGTGCTGGTTCTCCATACTCACGCCTTGTGATTCTTGAAATACATCCTTTGAGAAGTGTTAAAAAGGGACAGGAGAGCCTGGGGTGGGGAAGAGAAGTAGGAGAAGGCTGCAAACTCTCTGCTAGCTAATGCCCCTGGCAAGGACTGGAGATTTAAGAGTGTCAGCCTTTGCAGATAACCCTTGCAAAGAACCTGAGTGTTAGCAATGGGCTTTGTTAGTTTCCCCTAGCCCGCTAATGACCTGCAGCAGGTCTGCTCAGTTCATCTAAAGAATTGGCATGCAGGAAAATGGTGGGACAGCCATAAAAGAGAGCTGCAACAAGCCAGCAAAAAATCTCTCTGAAAAAGAGCAGCCATGGGCACAGGGCTTTTTGTTCTATTTTCAGGCCCTCAACCTCTAGAACATATTGAAGATACAAACAGTACAAAACTAGCTGGGCTCTCCTGGAAGTACTATATTGCTTCTTCTGAGGACACATAATTTGTCTTTTTGTCTCAGGAGCCTCAAGCACACTGTAAAAGTAGTAGCAAGCGTGGGAGAGTTGATCTGTGCATGATGGCATCTTCCCTTCTAAAACCAAAAGTCTCTTGGACCCCAGTCACAGCAATCCCTTCTTCTGGTAACAGGCCATGGGAAACCATTCCTCCCACTCAGCTCTCTTTCGCAAAGCCAGCAACAACAGAGCCCTGCACTGTTATGAAACTGCTAGCTTCAGACTGAATGAACACAAATCAAACCATTATCAGAAATAATGAATGAAAATTAGCCAGACAACCAGTCACCACACTAAGAGACAGCTGAACTGTTGGCACATTCCATAAGACAAAATGAATAAATAAGCAAATAACAAGACCATTCAACTGACTACAATCCTCTGCAAAACTAACTGCTTAGTAATTGGAATAGCAGAGTTGTTAATAAAAAATTAATATCCAAGAACAGATCACAAACTTCAAGTGGCTTTCAAAAAACCATAAGGAGAAAAAAATTATTTAAGACAAGTGGCTTCATTAGGAAACAGAGATATAAATTCTCCTCTTGAATTACTCCATCAGAAATAAACACAAATGTAACATTTCAGAAGTTGCTCATTAAGTTGTCAGCAGAGAAAGAAAGTCTTAAAATGAAAAGGAAGAATTTATAATGTATAGTACATATCAATTGCATTACTGTCATCAACAGTTTTCCTCTGCCACCACTGGTACTGCAAAAATCTGTAGTTGGGTCCTGCCTAGGAAACCTTATATAGACTTCCTCTGACTTATGACCCCTTTCCACAAAGACAATTAGAGAATCTAAAACATAAATTCATTCTCCAGAGTCAAATAACTTCCACTATACCACACTCAAAGAGATTATAAACGCAATAAAAGTGGACTTTAATATCACTCATAATCCCTAGGATTAAATAAATTTGGTAGGACCTTCTTACCCTGTCTGCCTGGCACAAGTGGCTGATAATATTTTAAATTTGGGCAGAAGCTCTAGTGATCTGAAGCAACACTAAACTGGGTTATCAAAATATTTGCATTTCCTAGTTCAGCTGAGGCAGAACAGTAATATAAAATAAACTGTCATAAACAAGTTAATCCTGAATCAGTTTCTGACATACCCTCACTCACTCTCTTCTCCTTAGCTATGAATTAATGAACACCTAAAATGATTAAGTAATACAATTTTATTCAGCCAGAAAGCAAATGTGTTTTAATTCATAGACAATCTATACATCTTCTGTAAATCTACAAAGCCAGGTCTGGGATATCGTTTAGCTTTGCAAGATCACATTTAGAAAGGCTATAGGCAGCAATGACATGGTTATCACAAAGTCTGAATAAAAGTGGAATCCGGCCCTGTCTCACTGTGCAGTAGTATATAAGGCTTCAAATCTTCTTGTCACTTCCTAGGAAACATGGTTACATGTGCTAATAACAGCTAGATCTACACCCTACCTTATTCCAGGATGGTTAGGGAAAACACATACACCTTCCAGCTCAGATCATAAAAGCCTTTCTAAATTCTTCATGACTGTAATTCTTCAGAATTATTTTGGTAATCTGCTACTTAAATTGAAATGATTTCCAGTTTCTGATCTAGAATCTGTTCTGATCAGAACCGATGCACTTATATATAATAATAATGGGAATTGCTGTAGCTGTAGGAGATATACCATCCCTAAGCAAATAAAAAAATTTAAAACTAACACACAAGGGGAGGTGGGGGTGATAGGGGAGAGAGATACTTAAGTCAAGGTCACTTAGCATTCTCTGCCATGACAAAAGACTCCTTATAGCGTGTATAAACACATTGAAAAGTCATTAAAAATTAAATTCACACAAACTTTCATATCTTTTCTTGCTGCAGGGGTGGTTCAAAATAATGTCTGAAATAAATGAGTATCACATTATTTCTTCCAAGAGGATTTTTTAGCCAGCCGGGATTTGCCTGCAAGTATTGTAGCTGTAGAAACACGTTATTTAGAAGGTAGAGAAAGATTTAAAATATAACAGAGAGATTGACCTACCTCGTTTAGTTCTTAAGAATGAAACACACTGTAAATCAGGGACGTGATCTCTGTAGCAGAAGGAAGAATGAAGTGATCTGCAGAGTTCAGAGTGACTTCAGTGTGATTCCAGCTGCTTCACTTGGCTACTGCCTTCCTGCTAATAAAGCTGCAGAATGATATAACGCTGTGTTTGTTTTCAGCTGAGGAAGTTGTTTCCAACTTCCCTTGGTTTTCTAGACCCAGTTTTGAAATGTTGCCTTTCCGTATAATCCCAGTATTTTACCAAAAATAAATGTTAGACATGTGAATGCATGATTTTGGTCAGTGTCCAAGCAAGCAACAGATGTGGTGACTGATGAATGGAAAGAGACCTTACAGTTGTAGGCTGCTTTTTGTTATGCAGAGAAGTTGAACAGTATTTCTTTGTAAGCACTCTGGTTTATAGAATATAATGTTGAATGAGCAGAAAGATGCTTAAAAAGTCACACTGAAGGCATCATTTTGTAATTGTCCTGTGACATACATTCATTTTGTATTTTTGATTAGTAGATTAATCTCCCCTTCCTGTGTAAGAGAGAAGTGAGCTCCTCAAAACATCACCAGCTAGTGCGTCTGTTTGTCAATCCATGCAACACTGTTCAGAAATTTGAACTGGGTTTTAGGACACTTGGCTCGATTCCCAGTTGTTTGCCAGCCCCCATGATCTCCATGTCACTTAGTTTCTCAGTCAGTTAAACAGAAATATTATTCCACTAGTATCTACATGCCATAGCTTCACCTGACTGATGGTACTGATCTCATCATACCATTTTAAATCCACTGAGCAACTGTCAGTCTATACCCTTACCAAAAATCAAATATTCTAGTGGAAGCAATAATCTAACAGTGGTACTCTGTCATTAATGCAAAATATATAAAAGGTTCAACACTTATTGAATCTAGTCAATTCTAAATTTTCCAGATATCAACTCTAGATTCCAGTGAAAATCATAAATAAAAAAATACAAACAAAAACACAGAATGCTTAGTGAGAAGCAGCAAAACAGAAATTTCATCATCTGGTTAGCAAGGCTATCAGTTTTAAGCACAGATCACAGGTTCTCTCAACAGGAACCAAAAACTCCTTCCAGCAAAACTACCCTGCTTCATCTTTCCTCCATGACAACTCTTCCTGTTCTGCCAATATATCTTAAAATGCTGATACCTTGTACATGATGAGGAAAAGCTATGAATGGAAGGAGGATGGAAATGATGCTATGATGGGGCAGAATCCCTGGACCACAAGGACAGGGGGGCATGATCCCTGTGAATATATGACATGGGAGATGAACAGGGCATGTTCCCTGAGGGAAGAGTATGGAAAGACTCCAGGACCTCCTGATTTGGCACCTCACTTGTTTATTTCTTGCATTTTAAAGATTTCCTGTTTTCTCTAGGTAACTGATTGGCGAACCTTCACCGATAAAAGCTCTTTTAATAGTAGTTCTCATCTTTTTTAAATATTGGGAAGGGTAAATATAGGCACCATTTAACAGCAAATCTGCCAAAGTTTTTTTGCTTGTAATGGCAAAGGAGTCTGTGTGTCTGTAGGTACTTTGCCAAATCCAGTTATTATAAGGCAGTTAATTCAAGGGCTTGCTTAGTACTATTTCGGTAGGACAAAAGAGGAAATTACTGGGTAGATAACCCTCACACACGATATACAGTAAAAGAAAAAAAGACCTCAGCAAGCAGTCACACATTTGCCAAAATCTCTTCACCTTCTGGCTGAAGGGAGCGTTCTGAAGAGTGCAATGAATTCCAGCAGTTTTGGTGTAGTAAGAAAATATCCTTAAGGGACTGTTTCTTTTACCAGAATCTAAAATAGGTTTGGGACTACTCAAACACATACCGGAGATGATGGTTCATCCTTCAGAACCAAGGGACGATTAAACCTCACACAACAATTTTCCTCACCCTTCCTACCATTGTACCAAAGGTGAAATCACAACTGATAAGGACCCAAAGACATTTTGTAGAAGCAAGTTTTCATAGAAAATCAAGATTACTTTTTTTTCCCCCAAGAACGGCAGATCACTGCATTTAAAGTATTTTTTTTCTACCCATCTGTCCTACCTACATTTGCTCCTTTTCAATTGAAAGGGACTTTTGCTCTGATGAGCAATTATCCAATTTGCACAGTATAATCAGCACATGTAATATATCTGGGAGAAAAAAAAAGAGCACAGAATTTTACAGACAAAGTTGCATCTAATCTGAAAGGATTTTGTTCTGTTTGTTTTCTGTTTAGAGCTAAATACAGCATTTTATTCTTCTACAGAATTAACCACAGTGGGAATCTTAAGTCCCTGAAGAATGTAAGCTTGGGCCCTAAACCTTTCCTTGTTTCAGTTCCTTCTATGCTCAGACACAGTCAAACTGGAATGGCAAGTCCCAAATTACATGGCTTTTTAATATACACTCTCATGCAACCTACTAACCATTGACTTCATTTTATGAGTGTGATCTTTTCAGATAATTTTGTGAAAGTTCTATGCTTGGAAGAAAATAAATTTAAAAAAAAAAAAAGTTCCTTGTTTGCTTTTGTGTCTTCTTTTTCTATTTGGAATTTGCATTTTATTTTGCCATGTCATTTGGTCTTTTTCAAGAGGGTAAATTAATGAAGTTCTGGAGGTTTTACTCTACATTATGTATGGCAACGTGCCAGAGATATACTGAAGAGGGTCATGCATTCATGAACATAAAGTGCATGCAGGACTTGCAGAGTAGAGAAATACTACTTTAAACCTGATGGAAAAAGAATAAAGGAGAGTATTTTCATACAAATAATAGATATTGGGTTGTCCAGCAGTGAATAAACTAGGTCTATTGAAAAACAAACTCGTTTTAAAAGCACTTCAGATTCTCTGTATCTTTTTTAAACGCTATAAAACGAAACAAAGGCAGAGGATGTATGGAAAAAAGATACAGGGGAAAAAAAACCTTCAGAAATACTTTACCAGTATTAACCAAAGGACAAATTACAATGCAATAAACAAAGTAGCTTTCATTTACCTGGATTACCAAAAATTACCTCATAGTTCTGATATTTCCCGCTGCTGGGACCACCGGATTTTATCAAGATGCCTATTAGTATGTGCAGATAAACTCTAGTGATTAAGCACGAACGAACACCCCAGACTAAATTCAGTGTGCACTAATTCAATTAGATTGTACTAACTATGAATTTGCAAATTAGGTCAAACAAAAGATATTTAGTTTTTCTCAGGGTTAATTTAAACCGAACACCACAAGAAAAAAAAAAATTACTTACCTTTTGAGGATGCAGCTGTTTACAGTTCTGTTCATTTAAAAAAAAAAACCAAAACAAAACAACTTTTCACTGCTCCTTTGTCCTCACTGTTTGAATTAACACCTCATCGATTAAAATCCACTCTGGAAAGACAGAGTTTAACTACCTGACAATCAGGAAAAGGGTAATTTCCTCCCTTCCTGTGAAACTAATGACTATTCATGCCTATCCTTTTGGTAAAACTGTAATGTTTACTTGTGGTTTAGCTGCCCACTATATACCACAGTCAGCAACTATGACAAAATTCTCCAGCAACGCCTTTAAACCAAACCACCTGGTGAAGGGAGGTTTGGCTCATTTAGGCAGGTCCACATCCTATTTCTACACTGATATTAGAAATCTGAAGATTTGAATGGATAATATGTTGAAGAAATTCAATAATTCTGCAGAATGCAAAATCCTTCATTTGATTATTACTTTAGTCAGGTCAAAACACATAAGCATATAAATGAATGTGTGTACGTACATACATATATATATATATATATATATATATACACACACATACATACACACACATACAAGTTGGAGCAGGATCTTTAAAGGCAGCACTTCATGTAACTCCTGCAAACAGTCAGCAGGGTGTTACATTCTATGAAATCATGAATATTGAAGAATAATTTACAAGAAAATGAAAGATAAATATGCATTTTCTTATGAAGAATGATACCTGGAAAAAATACTATTAGAAATAGCCTCCCCCCCCCAATTTACTTTTATACCTGCATTTTTTTCTCATTTTCCACAAAAAAAATAGGAATTATTTTCTACACACCTTTCAGACCACAGCTATTCAAATTTTCTATTGATATGACGATAAAATTAGAGATTATACCTACCACTCGGATAACACTTGAAAGCCATGCAATTTTCAGTTTTGTTGGGTTTTTTTAACAATGACCCTTCTGATATGTCACTGAGTGCTAAGGATAGCTAAATAACCAACTTGACAACAGCATTTTTCTAATTTAGCCAGTGTTGTCTCCTCCCATACAAAGGAATGACAGTGTTCTGAAAAGTAATCCAAGAGAGAACTACAGAGATTACAGAAACAAAAGTAAGGCTACGCCAACGATAGCTGTTTAACTATGTCTTTATTTCACAGTCTTTAGTACTGCTATAGGGATTAATCAATTTGCATTTTTCCACCTCACATACATTATCAGGAACTACAGAGTGACTTAGAGAAGTTTTAGGAGAGGAGCTCTCAAAATGGAAGCTAGAATTTATGTATTCTGTCAAAGAACTGAGATCTTATTTTCCATTTAAAGTATCCACTCTGGTGATTCAGTCATACATCTTTTATGTAATAGGTCTTCTGATTAAAACCCCAAATCCACAATTCAAAAAGGATTATATTATGGCTTACATACAATGGACATGACTCAGTGACCCGAGAGGTATTTAAGTTTCACGTTCTGCATTCATCTATTAACAATTCACAGTTAAATTGTTGAAGTCTGTCACAATGCATAACAATGCACAAAACAAGCAGATCTACAGTTACAAGTTCCAGTTCCTCACTATTCTGCAGCTAGACTGCCACTCTCAGCTATTGTGCTCACGGTGACAGACCTGGTTTTAAACACTAATAAACCGCAAACAGGGGAATTGAAAAGGAGTTCTAATCCCCTGAAAAGGAGACAGAGCAAACCTGAGGGTCAATACAAAACTAGGCACAGCTCCCTCATTTTGAAAATGTATGGTAATAGGCGGGGTGTCTATACAGGACACACGGGTGATCAAGCAAGGTTGTTGCTTTGCAGCATGACTACTCAAGATCTTACCTAAGAGAAACACCTATGCAGATGTGGAATCGTGGAGTCTGCTGCTTACTCTTTATAACGCTGACCAGCCATTGACATTTCTTAGGATTTATGGAGATGCAAAGACTTGGACAGTAGCTCCTTGCAATGGAGGATGGTTCCTGGACATCAGTGCAAAGCTGCTGCAAATCAAATACAAATCAATCAACTATGGATGTTCCGAGAAGCTGTGGTCAGTGGTTTCAGCACATATTTGTATTTTTAAAGTTGCTTTTTATAGTCAGCTACATTTGTCAGATTGTTCTTCTGCTTAGTGGATGTAAACACATTTTGTGAAAGGTGCCAGGCAGTGTTGACTCCACAGGGATTTAAGTTATTTTTCCATATAAATTAATGCAAGACAGGGAGAACCAATGCAAGTTTTTGCCTACTGCTCTGTATTTGCCTTCTCCTCTGATCACTCTCAGGGGAGAGAACATAGCTTTGCTTCTAAAGCCTACCCAGACCTCAGCCTCTCTAATGAGATGGGAGCTGATAAATCCCAATAAACCTGCGGCTTGTGATATGGGCAAACTATTAGAAGCTCTGAAAAATGCTTTGTTAGTTAAGGGCTCAGTCTATAAAGTCAGTATTCGCTCTTTCCTTGTCTTCAATGAAAGCAAACCTCAAAACTAGCACTATCTCTAATAAAATGACAGTGGGCTCAGGGAAGGAAGCGTAGGAAATCAGTCTAAGCAGACAGGCAGCTAAAACTCCCAATATTTATTTGTCCATTCTGGTTCTACTCCTTAAACTGTATCAAGACACAAAAATGTTAATTTTAAATCATTCTTACTTTGCAACTTTTATTTTTAGGAAGACTGTGTGCCCCCAATGTAGGGTTTAGCATAGATTGAATTCTATCTGAAGATGGAATTTATGTTAATATAGAGACTAGAATTGCAGCCTTTTCTCTAAAGGCTATTTAAGTAGCTACTTGTCTTTTCCAGACAGGTAGGCTCCTGTCTTTTAAAGAGAAGAGAGCTTGTTGAGAACGGTACAGCCACTTCTCAAGATGGGAAACTAGGCAAAGGGGAATTACACTAATTGTACGTAGCTTGGGTACAAACCAGAAATATCAAATAAATCAAATGAAAGACTTTTTGTTCAGAAGTTCTTTTTTCCCCCCCTCTTTTCAAATTTTTCCATTAAAAAGTATCTATATTTTCAAACTGTGAAAGAGGTTTGTTTCAAAGGCTGATGTTTTTGCCTATCAGCATTCCTAGCCTAAAATTAAATTTGTCCATGGAAAAAAACCCACAACTTCTCGTTTAACTTTCTGCTCCTTTCCTGAATAGGATAAAGAAATCTTTCTTTAAGTAATTCCCAGGGTAAAGTAAGGTAGAGAGTCTGCTTGCTCTCAGATGTAAGAAAATATCTTATGTGGTTTATTGTGGGAACATTAAAAAAATTTAACATGATTAAGAACAGCCAGTGCTTACTTAACTACCTTGGGAATACATTTTGACCCCACCTTAAACTAACTGCAGAACATCCAGTGACTCAACATAATAGAATATATATTTGGAACTCCCTGATTCCTATAAATTACACTACAGACAAGGAAGCTGCTGAGGTATTTTACATTCAGGATCATCTTACATTTATCTGCACCAACCAGAACAGTTCCAGTGAAATTGATTAATATAAACAATTAATTCAGCATATTCCAAAGGGCCAAGGCAGGTTCTCGACTTCTTGGAGCTTGAAAATTCTTGAAAAACAGAACTAATAACCTTCCAGGAAGCTTTGAGAAAATTACTTCTTTGTATCAGAAATACATTATTCTCTGCTTGAATAATGGGAATGAATATATACCTTTGCAAAAAATGGCTTGGAGTTCCTACTAGGACAGAACATGAGGTAGGCTAGAATGGAGAAATAGTAATCCACTATATTTATTTAAAATATTTCAAGACTCTCATATTAGCATCTGATTAAAAAATACACATTCATTTTTTACCTTATCTATAACAATAAAAAGAAGGATAGTTTAAAACATGCTAATCAAAATGTTTTGCCATGCAGACGAGAATAATTCTGTTCCAAGTATAAGTGTATTTCAGTTGTGCTATTTGACTGTGGTTAATACCTATTGGTCTTTCTGTTCCCTTCATAGTTTAATCCTCTCAGGTTGTATATCTCCAATCATCATGGGAAAATAACTTTCACCAGAACATACCTGTCAGAAATTATCATATATTTCCAAGTCATTTGGTAATAAACAATTATACTTGAAAATGTTGTCAGTTCTCAAGGGTCAATCTGACTATATAAATCAGACAGTTTTAGAATTGGTGTTATTTTTGAAAATGAATATGAAACAATGGCAAGTAGAATTGAGAAATTCTAAGTGACTGTTTTTTTGAAGCTAAAAAACATGCCACGCACAACATGAAGGTCAAAGAATATCCTGCAATTCATAGCAGTCACCTAAAGGCAACCCCCAACCTACTTCCTGACCTAGTGCTTTTGTTTGTGTCACTTCCTTAAAAAAACAGGCATAGTTATTTCAGAGAGATGAACTGACTGAATCATCATTAACAGAAAACAGAAATGAATATGAATGTAACAGTAAGCTATTCAGCATTTTATGATGAAAGAAGTGTTCTCTGAAAGCACAATACTCTTTCAGGTTACAAATGGGAAAAGGATCCAGAGACTAGTATCCCCTTTGCTTTAACCAGAGAGAATTTTACTGTACAGTCCTCTTGGCCGTCTGGATGCTGAGACCATGTTTTCTCTATGTTGTCTTAGGTATAGACTGGTTAGTCTTGGCCCAGCAAAGAAAAATTTCATGCAAGCTTAGAGCCATGGCATACAAACCTCTCAACTGTTGATTTAGTTTCTTTGTATTTTCCTTTTAGAACAGAAAGTCCTGGAAACATGATAATTTAAGCTATGGGACAGATTCAGACCAATTGCAGCAAAGCTAGGGTGTGAATTTGAAATGTAATCTAAGAAGATCAGGCAGAAACTTTCTGAAAACACTGAATTTAGATAAATTTTGTAGCCATGCTGTTTAAAGTGACACATTTAAAGTTGTCTCATCAGCTGTTCCTGCTGGATGACCTGCCAGCAAACAAACAGCAACAACAGCTGTAACAGTAATTAAAAAATGCTCTGGGAGAAGCATGAGTATCTCAGAATTTTGCTCAGCACTATTATAATAAAAATCTCTGTATTCTCCAAAGTACATGTATACAGAGATATATTATTGAGAGCAATTTTAGTGAAGGAAAAAAAAAAAAGTGTAAAAACCACAAACTCTGAATATGT